AGTGACCTTCTGAGAGGCAGCTGTGACCAGTTTTGGTGGTGTGGGGAGGATGGCCAAAGTCTCTGGTAGTATAGCCCGGCCTTTTTACAGTAGATTATATCACAGTGGATTATTATGTCACGCAGACAGCAAGAAGGGCATTTGGAAATAAAGGACATCTCCCTGTTCCCATTTCCTAGGATCCAGAACAATCTCTCGATTCTTGATTTGGCTTTGATTGCTTCCATCATGTCATGTTTATGTGGTGATAGATCTGACTCTTTTTTTCTTTAAAGGAAAATTGCTTGGTTTTAGCAAAGGAAGAAAAACAGCAGATTTTCTCCTTGGACTTTAATGTGTTTTCGAATCTGTTCACAGAGGTTCATTCAAAGAGGGCCGTTTGTCCTCTGCTTGATCTCTGGTAGTTGGTCCAAGATTGTCAAGGTTGTGGGTCAAAGTTGAGTCTTTGTCCTCCTGGTTCACTGGTGTTTGTCACCTCTGGGAGCTCACATCTTCCCACAGGAAAGTAGTGGCAGCCTCCCCTTTGCCCTTCGCATAGGTCTGACTGTGACGAAAATGACAAATGGCCATGTCTGCATGTAGGGAGAATCCAAAGGGGTGTGCCCACCTTTAGATGGGCACGTGGCTATCGTGAATAAAGGTTAGCAAACAAACAAACAAAAAAGCGGGGAGTGTGGATATGGCACAGGCAGCAGGGGCCCTGAGACTTGGGGTCCCATTTCGTAGGATGCAGGGGTATCCAATCGTCAGGAAGTTTTCAGTTTTACACAAATGTGTTCTGTTCGTCTTTGCAAAAGTACCCTGGTCCTTCAGTTTACTCTTGCCCAAGAAAACCTTTCACCCGTGGGCTCAGTCAACAGGGACCCCAGGGGAGGGAATGAGAATGGGGGGGGGGGGGACAAGAGACTAAAGAGACGGAGACAAGACAAGATTCTGATCAAGTCTCGTTTATTGAAAGTAGCAACAGGGCTTAAGTAGGGCAGGTCACAGAAGGGAGGGGGAGCAGAAGTTCTCCTTTGGCAGGGAGTGCTCCAAGGACACAAGTCCGCAGCTGGGGGGAGTCTGGAATGCAGGCCAGGTGTCAGAAGGGCTTGAGAGCCTGGACTGCAGGCCTTGAAAATATGCTGCACAGGGAGATAGCAGGCACGGAGGAACAGAAACTTAACTAAGCGCTAGTCTCTAAGAATACAGCGTGAATATTAAGATGGCTTCTATTACGCTATCCTTATGGGGTCTCCACACCGCATAGCCACCCTGTGCCAGCCACCATGTGATGGCTGCCAGAGACACCGCTGGTGACAAGTTAGGTATGGAGAATCTCACTGTAGCAATGGGAGCCCAGGACGGGAACCAAGAAACAAGGTGATTGGAGCAAGGGGTGACAAGGTGTGGGGCCACCTCCCTGGAGAGGTAACTTAGAGCAGAGAAAACTCTTTTTTCTCTCTCTCTCTCGAGACTTGTATTTCTAAATACCCAATTACCAGTAAGATACCCTTCGCAAAAAAAAAAATATTTCGTGGGGAAAACCATGCTAACTTGGTCATAGGTACCTTTATCGTGGGGGTCAGTGATGAAAATTGTTACAGGACTTACAGGTTATCTTCCCCCCGACACATGGACGACTCTCTGTCTAATTCTCCACGGGGCTGACCACCAACCCATCGTCACTCAGGGTTTGTAGGGAAGCTGCTAGGTTCGGTGCATTTTTGTTTCATGTTCTTCTTTCCTCTGTCTTTGTTTTTGTCTTTAGCTGTGGTCTCCATGTGATAACCCCGCCCCCATCTTCCAGGCCACGCCTCCGCTTGCCGCCCTCACAAGGAGAAACATATGGTGCCTGTCGGGGATTGGAAACAAAAATGTCTGGGCAGCTATTGAAAATATCACCCTAAGCTATAACTTAATCCGGGGGTATTAAGATATCACAGTAACATTTCCTGTACACAGTGCATTATCCACCGAGAAGCACTCGGTGGTGGAGATGCTTTCTGCTTGCGTGGCTTCCACCCCTGAGATGCCACAGGGATGGAAAGAAGCCGCGTGTGTACTCTCCTTGTTTGTCCTCCCGCATAGCCCTCTCTTTACTACGATAAGTTAAAACGGTCCCTCTGTTTTCTAAATGTGGTAGAAACGTATTTCCTAATCAAGGACTTAGTAATGTCCTCTTTTTTTTCCCCGAAGTTACTTTTTATTTGTTTGTTTTTCAGAGCTGTTCCCTGGGAGCACTTTACTCAGGGTTGAACCTTAGGGACCTTGAGGCAGGAGCTAGTCAAGCACTTAACTGTGTACCTCAGAGCCACCGCCCCGCTCTGGATGAGGAAGTTTCTGTTTTTCTCTGTTTGTCCTTCAAGTTGTTTTAAAGTCAAGGCGCATCTAAGGCAACAGTTTCCTATTGTCTGGTAAACAGAATGAAAATGTATGGGATGATGTTTAAAATTTTCTTTTCAAATATTACCAGGTGTTGGGACCTAGCCTTGCTTAGTATTTTCATACAACGTAATCAACTCTGTGCTGTGAATTTCTGGTTTTCTAGCCTATGAGAACTCTAGTTTGTTGCCCCCCCACCCCCGATTCATTTATAATCACATACCCAGGACCAGTCATGTGTCAGGTTAGATACCGGTTTTATGGTACCAAACAGATTCAGGATCACAGCCTCTGTTCTGACAAAATAAACAGACACCCAGCAAACTGTTTCATTTATAATTGAAATGGGTTTCCCGTGTTGAGGGTATCATCTATGACCAAAGAGGACAGATTAATGTGGGTCGTTTAGTGAAGTGTGGGGAGGAACAGAGGTCAGAGGTCGCCCTGAGACGTTTGTCTGTGAAGAGTGAGCAGCCACCGAGGAGGGGGACGATGAGGCCTGTTGTCTCTGGTTTTAGTTTCCTTTATATGGAGCACAAAACTGGGCTGTACTTAAATACTGCTTAGTTTCTCCTTGTGATAGCCTAAAGATCCTTGCAGAATGAGGCAGTGGGCCCACACCAGAATGGTGAGGAATTTGCTTCGAGGAGAAGAAGCGAATGTTCCCTGCATTGCGGTGGAATGGGGGTGGGAGGAGGAGGGTTAATGACCCTGAGAACACAGGCAGGAGAGGACAGTTCCTGCCCACTGGTCCCTGTTTTCTCAGTTGGCAGAAGGCAGGCTCAGCTGCTGAGCCGGAGCATGGAGGAGAGTGGAGGATTTTGCACGGTCAGCACTATGCACGATTATTAACACACACACACACACACACACACACACACACACACACACACACACACCAGAACATAGTTACTTAAAACACTTGGGGAGCAGACTGACTGAGTCGATCCAAGGTTCCCCTCCCCATATCGAGTTGTGATAAAACATCCAAGAGCTTCAGTTATTTGCAGTAGAATGTCAAAGGATGGCGGGGAGACCCTAAGTTAAATGAGGGCGTGGCTTCTGGGGAGAGGGAACTGAGAGAGGGGGGGAATGGATGGCCTGGAAAATCCACTGCTGTTGAAAACAGCAGCAGTTTGGGACTCCTGAGTGGGCAGGCTAAAGAGACAATGCTTTTTTTTTTGTTTGTTTGTCATCAGCTGGACTGCTCTTTCAGTGAGTGGGGGACAAGGCAGTGCCACCACGGTGCCCTCTGTGTGGCCTGGTGGCTCAGGGAAGGAGCCACTGGAGGTGAGGTTACTGATGGAGTAGTGGAGTTGTACACTTGGGCAGGAAGGTCCTGGGGACCTTTGAGCTTACCTGGGCTGGCGCTGGAAACAAAATAGAATGAGAGTCGGTGGTCTGGATGTCAGTCTTCCCTGAGCGGATGGGTGGCAGCATCTGGGAAGATGAGGTCTTGGAGTGACACTGGGAGGGCAATCTGCACTGACTTCTCTCCCTTGGGGACCCAGAGAAGTACCTCCTGAAGAGGGCTGTGGGGAGAATGCCTTTACACAGCATCCAGGAGGCACTGGAGCTAGGAGACAGGAAATGCTGGTCCAGACAAGGGCGAGGGGAGCTGGGAGCCTGTTGAGCCTGAAGTAGACGTTGGCAGAGCTGGGGACGGGAAGGAAGGCATAGGGTTGAAGAGAGATAACCTCCTGGATTAGTGTGGGGGTGTAGGATGGAGCGTTCCATGAGCTGCATGTGTGTTTGTGTATGTGTTTGTGTGTGTGTGCGTGTGATGTGTGTCTGTGTGTGTAGTCTAAATGTGTGTGTATGTTTGGGTATCTATGTGTGTGTCTGTGTGTGTCTGTGTGTCTGTGTGGGGTATGTGTGTGTATGTTTGTATATCTATGTGTGTGTCTGTGGTCTGTGTGTCTGTGTGGTGTATGTGTGTGTGTGTATGTTTGTGTATCTATGTGTGTGTCTGTGTGCGTCTGTGTGTCTGTGTGGTGTATGTGTGTGTGTGTGTGTATGTTCAGGTGGAGACTGATACTTGTGAGTACAATTACAGAGCTGAGCTTGGGGATTTAGCCCTGTTCATCTTTGCAGGTAGACTCATTTGGGTGTTATCGTAAGTCAGCTCAGACCTGGCGAGTTGAGTGCAGTCCAGTGAGTATAGCATAGTGTTATCCAAAGGAGGGGAAGAACGGGAGGGAGGGGAAGCATAAAGTCATTTTTCCTTGCCTGTTCTCCACAGCCACATTGGAGAGCTGGGGAGGAGGGACTGGGCTCTGCGTCTTTACTCACTGGCTTGTATGTGACATTTATGAGACTCAGTCGTCAGCTTGTGGCTGTGTAGCCTTTGCCTCTACCAGTCTCTAAGGAAAAAAGAGAGAGCATTCTCATACCTGATTTTTTTAAAGATCTGCAATGCCCATTCATTTTCCTCTCTCTGATGCTAGCCCATCTGTGGTGGTATCTACCATCGTAGGCTCAGTCACGTCATTTTTATAAATCGTCACAGTACTCAGTGTTCTAGGTGACAATTTGTTTTAATTTGTAAAGTCTCGGCTAACACCATTTACATATGTTAGGCTTTCCAATTCTTCTTCAGCAAGAGGATTCAAGCCCTGTTCTTTTACTTCCTGAAGGGACAAATGATGTGAAAATCCTTCCAGGTCAAGCTGTGTGTCCCACTCCCGGGTGCCGAGGAATAGGCCATATCCGTGGCCCACGTTATGCGGGACACCACAGGTAAAGATTTTTCTTACTTAAATCATTTTAGGGGCAAAACAGAGCATTGTGCAGACCGGCAGCTATATGTGACATCATACGTGAGTCTCAGAGCCTGCTGCCCTGTCACTGTCCTTTCTCCTCTGCTGAGACCCTTCCTTGATCAGTCCTTCTATCTGCCCTCTTCTGACCTCGTAGGGTCATGGGCTTCTGAGGCACGTCTAAGCAGACGTCTACCCGAAGCCTCTGGATGTCTGCTTGCTGTGTAAGGCTTTCCCCTGAAGTACATTCTCTCTGATGCACTCGCCCTACCTGTGTCTTGCTCTTATTACAAACCACCTCCGCACACCTACTCAGCCTTTCAGTAGAAAATCCCAGGGACTCTTCGCTATTCCCTCCTGTTTCCCGCCAACTTTTAAGTTCCCCTTTTCCCCCTCCTTTTTATTCATGTAGAGGATAGATGAATATGAAATGAGAGTGAAATTATTTTCAAGGTTTTAGGAGTTTAAAAGGATGCAGAGTGCATGCGTGCAAATAGATTCATAAATCTTCGGTATTGTTTCTGTCCCCGGTAGTTTGTAAAGTTATGCACAGATGAGTCATCCGTATTAATGATCTAGCAAGACAACACAAATTAAAGCTGAAAAGAACCAATATTAAGTTTGCCTAATACGGACATCGACAATGAAGTGTGAGGAGAAAGGAATAAGCGTGCGAAGCAAGGGAACACTGACAGAAATTTAAATGCATCGCGGGAAGCCCTCTCTTTGTCAGGGAATGGCAGGGCCCATGGTAGTTCTGTGCTAATCAATGAAGGTGTACCCAGAAGATGCCGTGGTGACCATGCCACACAACTACCTATATGGAAATGTTACGCGTGTAGACGTGTAGAATGCCCATTGAGAAGAAAGGAGTGGAGCGCTGGCAGAGACCTCGGTTGCCCCTGTGGACATCAGTGGGTCTTGGAGGCTCTGAGCAGAGCTGGGGTCTGTTGAAACGTCTCAGTGCTCTGTGGGGGAAAGAGAAAAGCGGTGAAGGGTCAGACAGAGGGTGGCGAACAGACGGAAGCAGAATTGGGAGTGGAGGGCCCTGCGGGTGTTGGAGCCGGTTTCTAGGCATCATCAGCGGTGGCTACAATCTTCATTAGGCTGTGGGTTCATGTGTATGTATGTATGTATGTGTGCTGTGCATGCCGGTGTACAAGTGTGCCTATGTATGTACCTTGTGTGCAGAGAGAGAGAGAGAGTGTGTGTGCACGTGTGCACGCTGACTCCGAGCTGCAAATTCCAATCTGGTGTTCAATAGCCCCATGAGTCTGTTTCAGTTTAAATTAATTAAGATTAAACAATATGAAAATATCATCTCCATGTTTCAAATGCTTAGTGGCCATCGGTGGCTGTCATCCCCAACAACGTACGTGTTAAGACAGTAGGACAGTTACACCACCACTGAGTTCCGTTTGGCATACTCAAAGGAATCTCCATAGTATTCTGCCTTCTGTGTGGGATTCTATGATCGACAGGATTTTCTTAGCCCTTCCTTTACAACTTGAGTCACCATCTTCCAGTGTAGCTAAGTCTCAGCTCGTCCTTCCCGCAAAGCTCTCTGAAGATGCCCTCCCATGGAGCTGGGGGCTCCCTGAGCATTTTTGCGGCTCCCTGCACAGCAGGATCCCCTGTGTTCCCCACTTCTTCAAGCTGCCATCACTGTGTGTGTCACTGACTTACCTTCCCTGGCTGGATTCTCAAGAAGCCAGAGTCCCAGTGGGCATGGATTTCCTGTTCTAGAAGTTTCTCTAAACCCTTTACTAACCCAGTATGTCAGAAACAGAACCTGTTCGCTGCTCTTATCTGAGTTGCTTGATCGTTAATATGAGTAATGTTGGATGTGTTCTAGCCACCAAATAGTCTTTCAAGGTTGGATTGCGCAAACTAGAATATAAAATACAGATGAGTAAGACACAGAGAGGGAAAAGGCCCACTGTAGATATATGAAGGAGCAAGAAACTGGACATTGTTAGAGAATCTGGAGGCATTAGAGACTGCCCCACCTCCCAAACCCATGAATGCTTGGGGCTGCTCTGGAGTTGTGGTGTTGTTCCCTGGAGTACCTGCTCTTGTCTAGTTGTAGAACTGGTTATGACACAGAAGGACTTGTATAAGTAAAGACAAGGCATGTAAAAGCTTCTCATACTAGAGATCCAGAAAGAATGAACATCTGCAATTAGTTTAATTTTAGAAGAGTTAAAATTTAAGGATTAGATTTTTTTACATTTACATACTTACTAAGGATTTACAAGGTTTTTAAATAAATCTATAATGTAAATAAAAATCCAAACATGTATGAGCAGAAAGTCTATAACCTTACCTATATTTAACAGTAATTTATATTGAGAAATGAGGCCATGTTGCCCAGTCGAGTTGCATAGACCGTAGGAAGGCGCTCATTGGAGAGTGGGGAGCTCAGGTGATGTGGACAGCTCTGGTTCACACTGGACATCTCTGTTCTGGCTTTAATCATTCAATCTATTTACTGTCCTTGTAGCCTGAGATTATATTTAAATTGTCTTGTAGTTAATTGAATAGGAGTTGTTATGCTGTTTCTAGTCCTGGAGTTTGTTTCCATGTTCTTTGTATTATTGTGGCCTAAATTTTACATAATTTTAAAAGTTTAAAAGTACCATTTGTACTTCCCTGCCAGCTTCCTGGGCCCTGCCACAGTTGCAGCCCCCAAATAACACAGGAGAGACACCATATTAATTATGAAGCTGTTGGCCATTTGCTATTGTTTCTCATTGTCTAGCTCTGACTTAATTATTGATCCATAATCACCAATATATATTTTTATAAGGACTTATCTTTCTGAGAACGGCAGACTTGTGTCCTCTGCTCCAGGGATCACATCTCCAGAACTCCCCTCACTACATTTCCCAGAATCCTCCTAGACTCCTAGTCCCACCTATCTTGCTTCCCTATTGGCCAACAGTGCTTTATTCAACAACCAATAAGAGAGACATATTTACAGAATGACATCTCCCAACAACCATTCTTCACTTCCTGTCTGTGATGATGTCTATTCAGATACACCACCCATAATCCTCATGTAGCCATGCATAAGCGATGGGTGTTGGTGGTGCACGCCTTTAATCCCAGCACTCGGGAGGCAGAGGCAGGCAGATCTCTGTGAGTTCGAGGCCAGCCTGGACCGACAGCCTCCAAAACAATACAGAGAAACACTGTCTCGTAAAACCAAAAAAAAAAAAAACCCATCATTATTCCATCTCCCACCCAAAGCGATCATCCCGAACTTTGTTCCTATAGTCAAAAAGATGGACGGCGGCCGATAAGAATTTTAAACCATCCCTGCTCCTCACAACCAGACATACTTCTGCATCAACTGTAGCTTAAATCATTCTTGACTAATTTAAAGGAGAAAAATTATATATTCTAAGCAGAGGCAATTTTTCTTTTCCTCTTGACATAGATGTATTTTTAAAACTAAAAGACATCATTCTGCAAGATGCCTCTTGCAATCTCATTCCAAAGATTATTAGGCAACTATTATTATAGTCAAAGATAAAGGAAAAATAAAACCAAAATTGGACAGCCACCCCCCGACACACACAACCAGTTGCACTCAGTGCCTGTGTCTTAAGTTTCCTTTTTATTATTAGGATGAGACAGCATGACCCAGGCAACTTATGAAAGAAAGTGTTTGATTTGGGCTTATAGCTGCAGAGGGTCAGTGCCCCTTGTGGCAGAACTAAAGCTTGGTAGTAGGAACAGCTTAGGGCTCACATGGTGATCACAGGGGCCAGGCAGAGAGACACCCACCTTGGGACTGGCATGAGTTGAAATCTCAATGCCCACCCACAGTGACACACCTTACCCCAACAAGGCCACCCTTAATCCTTCCCAGACAGTTCCACCAGCTGGGAACCAAGTGTTCACACAGATGAGTCTAAGGGGAGGCCATCGTCACTTAAACCACCACAGCCCATGTAAAGCACCTCCTGCATCTGCTTTTCCAGAGCCTGGGGAAGTGGGAAGTCACCCAGGTCTGCGGCCTCAAGGACAGTGGTGGATCAGCCCCGCTTCTGTGAGAGCCTCCCAGGTTGGGAAAAGCACACAATTAGTGCTTACTGTTTTTCCCTAACCATGTCAGAATCTCTAGTCCTTATATTGGTTTTTTTTTTTTTTTTTGGTTTTTACAAGACAGGGTTTCTCTGTATTGATTTGGAGGCTGTCGGTCCAGCCCAGCCTCGAACTCACAGAGATCCACCTGCCTCTGCCTCCCGAGTGCTGGGATTAAAGGCGTGTGCCACCACGGCCCAGCTAGTCCTCATATTGAAGAGGTGACGTTTCGAAAGGAAATGAAAGTCTCACTACACAAGCTGTCCGTGTCTCGTGTTGTTTGGCTGACAAGAACGGGTGACATCAAGATACCAGGGAGGAGTTGAAAATAGCCCATCGTGTCAACCAGTCAGGCAGGCAGACCCGGCAGGCCCTTTCTGGACAGATTTCAGTCACTTTCATTTTCATTTTTGTTAAAGTTGTCAAGGGGTTAACAGCAATATTCAAGGCTGTTTGGGGCTTATGTGGAATATGCATAAGGCGTTATTCGGAAGAAACTGTATCAGTTCTATCTGTGAGAAAGGAAAGGGGACTTTTGGCACACAATTATCTCGCAATTTGCATTTTATTTGAATGAATTTGCATAGCGGGGAGAATGAAGTAGTTGTATCTGTTAACATAAAAATATTTAAAGATAGCCATCTAAAAACTTAACTGTTGAGCCAAGATCCAGGATGAGCTAGAAATTGTGTGTGTGTGTGTGTGTGTGTGTGTGTTTGTGTGTTTTCTCTATTCCTAAATAAGAAGAACGGTCTTGGAGACTTGATCTACTGCTATGTCATAAAAGGTGCAAGGGTAATTTATTTGTGGATGAATAATTACATTCTTCACACAGATAGCCGGGGAGCCCTGTGGCGTGGGAGCCTCTGGCACATTACAGGCGGGCAG